CTAAAATGTCTTTTCTGGCCAAGGCAGTTAGATTACCAATGCACCATGGTATGTGTCAAGAGAGACTGTTATTAGAGAGGTCTAGGAGCAGAATATTAGTCAACTGGCATACCTACAAGGGGATCTCTCCATAAAAATGATTGGATTTTAGGATGAGAAAATTTAATGAACTTAACCTTTCTCCAATCTGGTCTGATAATATTCCTGAGAACTTATCATAGCTCATGTCCACAAATCGCAAGTGATTGCAATTTCCTAAAGATTGAGTTATTTCCCCAGAAAAGCTGTTGTTTTGCAAATCAGTTGTTTCAATGAAAGACAAGGAACCAATTGAGCTTGGAATTATTCCAAAGAAACGATGGTTAGCCAAATTCAAAATAGTTACATTTGGCCAACGCATCAAACAATCAGAAAGCTCTCCAGATAGCTGATTGTAGGAAAGATCAAGAAAGGTAAGTCTGATACCACTAGTTGTGGTACAAAGAGAAGAAATTGACCCAGAAAACCTATTTTTTGAGAGGTTTATGGATGTGGTATTAGCAGGAAATGGTGGTAATGGACCCTCCAAATAATTGCAACTCAAGTCAATTCCAAGAAAACCAGAATACCTCATTCAAAAATCAGGCAGAAATCCATTAATCTGATTGGAAGAAAGATCCATAACAGCATAATTAGAAGCAGTTATGTTCCAAATCCAGGTGGGGATGCTACCTGAAATTCCACTTGTAGAGATACTAAGAAACCAATAGTTTCTTTGGGCCTGTAACAAACTTGGAAAATCAGGGCCCAACTTGCATAGCCCAAGATTTATGTAACCCAACTGGAATGGAGGAATCCAGTTATGAGTAAAGTTGATGGTCAAGAAGGGATTAGAAGTCAGGTCCAAAGTCCCTAACTCAAATTGTGTTGAGAAGTGTTCTTCAGCGATTACCCATCAAAAGAATTGAAAGAAAGTTCAAACGACGCAAGATTTGAAAGGAGTCTGATATTTTTGGTCACAGTACCACTCACATTATTACTTCCAAGGGACAACTCTCTCAACAATGAGAAGTTTGTTATCCGATCAGATAGGACTCCCCCAATTCCACCATTATCTAAAACTCTGCAACTCAAACAGGAAAGGACATAGCTTACCTCTTAAGGAACAATCCTGAAGAATAAGCTCAATTACACGCCCAGTTGCTTTGCTACACTGAACTCCTCTCCATTTGCAACAACCCCTTTTCTCTTGTTCACTTCCCCAGGAGGAAAGCACACCATAGTCATCAACCAAACCTCGCCTAAATGAAAGAAGTACTTGTCTTTCCCTCTCTATGCACCTAACTTCATGACCTCCAGCTGTGAAATTGAGTCCAACAGCACTTCTAATCTGTAGTAAAATCACAATTAAAAAGACAAGCAGAGAGGTCCCTCTACCCAAAACCATCATTTTTTGAGTGAAATAACAAAATCAAGATCAAGCAGAAAAAAATTGAAGACTGTCAAAGAAAAATTGTGGAAACATAACCATTTGGTTCTGCTGTCTGAGTTTTGGAACCCTTCTACTTATATGAACAGCCACAACAGAGCGCAATGAACAGATGTCAAAAGGGAACATAACAAATTAGAAGTAGTGAACCATAAATTAGACCAGAACTGGTCATTAATTAGACCTTGTTTAAAGTTGAGGAGTGCTTTGTCTTTCACTCTCTATAACAGTCTTTTTCTACTTAATTTATCATCATTTCCATTTGCTAGCATCACTCTCATATCATTTTGATAGTGTAGGAAATGGAGCAGTGCAAGCATTGTATGGAACGTTGAGGGAAGTGGAGAAATAAGAGAATATAATGTAAAGGCATCAACTAAGAGAGGGAATTCACATTAGTGTGCAGAGTTTATTTCAGTACAACTAGTTTAAAATCAGTTTTTCCCTAAAGTATCCTGATTATTTAGGAAGAAAGAGTGAGTTTAAATTTAAGGAGGTATTTTTAGCAATCTAAATGTTTGGTTCCAAATTCCATCAAAACATACATACAGCGAGACTAAACATGTTACGCAATTGTTAAGGATAAAAATCTCATCAAGAGGAAGTGTAATTATTTGGAGTTTTTATTGAAGAAAATAACACTAGTGAGACTAAATGTTGTCCAAAACAATGCCATGTGTGAAGAATAATTTATATGATTTTTTCTTGTCATTGATCCTATGATAATTAGAAAGGACCCTCTATACCCAAAACCATTATTTTTGAAAGTGATATGAACAAAATCAAGATCAAACTGAACCAAAGTGAAAATTGTGCCAAGGAAATTTAATATTTTGTGAAACAAAAAAGGCAAAGACCTTTAGTGTAGGGAGAAGATTAAAGAAAGATACAGTTAGACGGATTTTAACAAAAATCAGGCTGGAGTAGCAGAATTCAATACTGAGCCTGTGAAACACAATCAAGTTAAAGAAATGGAAGTCCATTGACCACTTGTCTTATTAACCAACCTTGGAAATCTTGTTTTCTGGAAGCATCCTATTAAAGTTATTGAGAATGCAACAAAGAAAAGAAGA